GGGGGTGTGAGAGCAGCTGTGTATATCGCAGAAGGGTTTCGCTTCGGGACTGTGTGCTGACGCCGATGTCACGGCTGCTCTGAGCACCAGATCCTGTTACCGAGCTGTGCCAAGCCGGATGCAGTGTGTCCTCACCATATGCTCCACGCTGACGTGCATGGGCTCTCAGACGGGGGTGGCACGGAATGCAGAAACCCTGAGCGCCCAGGCAGGAAACCTACTCAGAGGGGCCATGCTCGCCAAACGCCCCAGTTCTCCTGCCTCCGAGGACCCTGTTTCCAGGTGTATGTCATTCATTTATTCATCCAACAACCACAGATGGTGACGGGGCAGCTACCACGTGGGAGGCACTGTGTTAGGCACTGAGGACGCAGCGGTGAATGAAGCATCAGGCGCTCGGGACTGAGACCAGCCATGACAGACATAGGGCCAAAGCACAGCATCCTTCTAAGCTCTGGGATGTAGAGAGTGATCAAGGATTTGGGGAACTGAAAGGCGTTAGTGAAAAATCTTTGTAATGGGATTTAAAAAATTGTTTTTGCACGCCCAGCATCTTAAATACCTTTTCTATTCGAGAGAATTCCCCAAATAGGCAAAGGTCATGTCCCTCATCCACTGGCAGGCGACGTGAAACCTGGCATGAGCGTCCACCTCCAACGTGGGACTTCAGGCTCTTGGATCAAGGTGATCACTCAACATCTCCACTTGGATATGCAGCTGATACCTCAGATTACAAGTCCACAGTCAGACTTGGTACCTTCCCGGAAACCGGCTTCTTTCCTGGTGCTCCAATCCATTCGCTGCACTTCTGTTTAGCCGCTGACAGGCCGGCCTTCTGGGAGTCACCGCTGCGCCTCGCTCTCTTGCACAGATATCACCGCCATCATAAAGCACCCCTGTCCCTGCCTTTAACATGCACCCGACTCTCAACACTCCTCACCACCTTGCGTTCTGCACTGACGTCTGTTCTACCACCGTGTCCAACCCGCTGTCCTGAAACAGCCTCCTAGCAGGTCACCTTGGTCAATTCTTGCCTTGCTCTTGTCTGTACTCTGCAAAGCAGCTACAAAGGATCTCTTCAAATGTAAATCATATCATCTTCTCCTGTTCGGTATTCTTCAGTGGCTTCTCATCACACAGAGAACAAAGCCAGCCTCTTCCCGCGGCCTGGAAGGCTCTCCATAATCAGCTTCCTGCCCACGCCATGAATTTATTTCCTGACTTCCTTACCTTTACTCACTGCCTTCCGCTCCGACCGGTCTTCTTTCTGTTTCTCGGGCACACTGAGATGTGAGAACACGGGCGTGTTGAAACATCAGTGAGAAGGACTTACCTAAAGCCAGGAGAGAGAAGGAGAATTGGGGGCGAGAAGTCCTGAGACGGTAGCTAGAGATGAGATCCAAAGGCCAGTTGGGGAACAGTGGCCTTGCCCAGTAGGAGAGCTGCCTCCTCTCGTTTTCCAGGGAGAGGGAGACCCCGACAGGTGCAGGATTAGCTGCGGGATCGAGGGCCCAGGTGAGAATTCATTCCCCAGGTATGTGTGAGGACCTGCTGTTTGCCAGGAATGCGCATTAGGCACTGGCACCGCGTTGGCTCTGCGTGGCTGGCGGCATTCTCACCCAGGGAGACCTGGAACCCATCATTAGGGTCCGAGTCTGTCTCCTCCGGAGCACGGGAGCAGAAATGACACCTGCTCTGTTGAATAAAATCATTACTTATGTGAGGCCACCAAGAGCTCTCCATCCTCCGGGGTGGAACTTAGACCAGCGGCTCTGGAGGAAGGGACTGTGTCTGTTTTGTTCGCTGGTGTTTTGCCAGTTATGGAAGTGATCATTTATGGAATGAACGAATGGTTATCACTGAATCAAACTCGCTTTTGGGGAGGGGAGCTGCGACCTCATAGACTTCAGGCAGCCTCAGGATATCTTCCTAGTGGCAAAAAGTCCCACTTGACTCGTGCCCCAGCCGTTGTACCTCGGCTCAGTGACTCGGCCTCGTCACGTTCACCCCCAGTGCAGGAACGCTCCTAAGTGACGTGGCTTCATTCGTCTGTAACATGCTCAAAGCCACTGAGGCCCCTCCTCTCCCCTCTGCCTCCTGCAGCACATCCTCCTTCTCTCCCGCCCGAGCGCTGAGCCAGGCTCACGTGGCCTGTCCTCCACACGGGCGCCCAGCCGGTGCCTTTCATCCCAGATGCTTCAGACGAAGGACGCGCGATCTGCAGAGATCTCCACAGACGACAGCACTTAGCCGAGGTGGAGATGAGTGGGAACGGGGCTTTAGTGTAACGACACACCCTGAGGTCTAGACGTGAGGGCAGGGGACCGACGAGAAGGGAGACCGAGCAGCTGGAAAGAAAAATGCAACCTAGTCAACAAGCAAAGACAAATCTGAGGACCAAACTCTGGGAAGGGCCATGTAACAATATACACCTTCAGGGATTTACGGAGTCAACACTTATTTGATATTTTCATGGCAGGACCTGAGTTGTGGGTTAGAGAGTGCAGCTCCCCGGCGGAAACAGGGGTAGGAAGTCGGGCTGGCCCTTCAGCTGTGGCTGAGCCAATACTGGGAGGCCCCTCGCTGCTCACCAGCCTCCGGGCAGGAGGGCTGGTTGGTGGTACTGGCTTGAAGCAGAATATTCTTTGTTTTCTAGATGGTTCCATAGTTCCCATGCTGTTCAGCTTTTCCACTGGGTCGAAAGTAAATATCTTCCCTTGTTCTTCTCTGAGAAATGCTGTGCCAAGGACCGTCACACTTGGCCTAAGCTTCAAAAGTGCTGGCGTTCCTGGGCACTGTCCTAAGTGCCTACATTATTACGCTTAATCTTCACAACAATTCTGTGAGGGAAGGACTCATTAACTCTGATTTTTAGGTGAGAAAATTGAGGCTCGGAGGGGGTTAAATCACTTCATGGGGGAGCCGTGGTGGTCAGAACTCATAAATCACGCACGCAGGACCCCCGAGGGCTGTCTTCCTTAGCCCTGTCCCTTCAGATGAGATTAAATCTGGTGCAAGCCAGACACACAAACACGAAGCTACTCAAAATACTTCGAAGAATACGTTAGTCCAGCCCGGCCTGTGTGGCTCAGTGGTTGAACGCCAACCCATGCATCCAGAGGTCGCCAGTTCGATTCCTGGTCAGGGCGCATGCCCAGGTCATGGGCCCCGATCCCCAGTGGGGGGACATGCAGGAGGTGGCCAATCGATGTTCTCTCGCATCGATGTTTCTATCTCTCTCTTCCTCTCCCTTCCTCTCTCCCTAAAATCAGTAAAGGAAAAAAGAATACTTTAGTCCAAGATGAGCATGATCATGGCCAAGGCTGTCCCTTTGATCGGAAAACCCCGTGATGCCCAACCATTGTGCTCTAACGGCACCTAACTCTGTGAATTTCTCACCAGGCCAATTCCTCTTGCCTAATAACAGTGCTTGCCGAGAAATCTCAAAACCCAGTAGCAATTAATTATTGACAGAGCATGCGAATTAGAGATAAAAGAAAAGTCATTCTTTCTCTACACACTCGATAGTAAATAAATTTAATTATGGTAGGGGAAGCTAAGGGATCTTCGTCTGTATTAAGGTTTATTAGCTGAGACATTTAAAAGCATGTCATTATAACAAAGAGGGCTTGTGTAATCCTGAATGTACTTCCTTGGTGCAGGGCGTGGAAGTGAATACACTTAATGGGGCCCACGGTGACAGATGGCCCGCTGTGCTGACAGGCATTGAACCGGCTTACCGACAGTTAACTTTGGTCCACATAAGCCCACAGCAAATTGACTGTATGGTAGGATCCTGAGCCTCCCTTTCTCACTGGGGGGCCTGCCACACTGAGATTGGGGGACAGAGAGCATCCAAGTCCTTTACTATCGTGAATCTCCCACGTGAGACGAGGCCACTCTGAAGGGCACCGTGGATGCAGGGGTGGACTGAAGAAGCAACCTTGGGAAGGAAAGCAAGAGACACGGGCCCTGGTGTGGGGTCGTCACGGGCCCACGGGCAACCCCGGAACAAAGAAAGACGGAATCCCGTTCGTAGAGCCAAACCTCTGCTAGATGCTTTTCCTCTGTGCCCTTTTACTCTCTGCTGAACTGGAGGTAAGCTTTAGGCGTTTACAAATGAGGACGATGAGATTCCTGGGTGAGCGTCAACCTGCTGAGGTCACAAGTCCTGTCTCCTTCTCTGCCTCTGGGCCTCAGTTTCCGCATTTGCACCGCAAGGCCTCTGGACCAGGCCAGCGGAGCGCAGACTTTGGTCCAAAGGGCCCCAGCGGAAGGACGTGGGCTTGTTGCAACGACTCGGCGCTGCTGTGCATGAGCCGGCTGCGTTCCAATGAAAGTTTATTTATGAGCGTTGAGATCTGAATTTCATGTAATATTCATGCATCGCAAAATGTTATTATTATTATTCTGGTTTTCCCCCCCAACCATTTAAAGCTTTAAAATCATCCCTAGCTGCAGGCATTACAAAAACAGAAGGCGAGTATTCGTTTGCCACCCCCGGACCAGATCATCTTTGAGGTTTTGTTGAGTTCAGACGTTCTCTGAAAGCCGCTACAACAGTAATAATAACTTTGATTTATTAAGCTCCTACACGTGCTGGCTTCGTGCTAAGTGCTCCGCAGGCATTATCTGCCTTAATCCTCACACTGCGTGTGAAGTGGGTGCTATTATTACCTCCTTTCTGAGATTATAAAACTTACACATAGAGAAATTAAGGGTGTATTTGGCTTAAACGTGACTGGTGAGAGATAGAGCGGCAGTTTCACCCCAGGTGTATAAGTCTCCCGACCGTGAACCCAGAAGCCTCGGGCTGCCTTTCCTGATAATTCTATAATCAGAACTTTAGCGGGAAATATAGTTACAAAGAACTTCCAAGTGTTTATCAATGAATTTTTTTCGCTAGCTCCCCACGAGGCTATTTACATCAGATATTTTCTGAAACAGTAAAATGTTTCTGGAGAGGAATAACCACTCTCTCCTTTCCCTCCCTCTTCCAGAAATGTGATGCCCAAGACCGTGGATGGGCAGATCACCATGGAGAAGACGCCGAGTTACTTTGTGACAAATGAGGCACCTAAGCGCATCCACTCCATGGCCAAGGACATCAAATTGATTGTGGTGGTGAGGAACCCCGTGACCAGGGCCATCTCCGACTACACCCAGACGCTGTCCAAGAAGCCCGAGATCCCCACCTTCGAGGTGCTGGCCTTCAAAAACCGGACCCTGGGGCTGATCGACGCGTCCTGGAGCGCCATCCGCATCGGGATCTACGCGCTGCACCTGGAGAGCTGGCTGCAGTACTTCCCGCTCTCCCAGATCCTCTTCGTCAGCGGCGAGCGGCTCATCGTGGACCCCGCCGGGGAAATGGCCAAAGTGCAGGATTTTCTCGGTCTCACGCGTGTCGTGACCGAGAAGCATTTCTACTTCAATAAAACCAAGGGGTTCCCTTGCCTCAAGAAGCCAGAAGACAGCAGCGCCCCCAGGTGCTTGGGCAAGAGCAAAGGTCGGACTCATCCCCGCATCGACCCAGATGTGATCCACAGACTGCGGAAATTCTACAAGCCCTTCAACATGATGTTTTACCAAATGACTGGTCAAGATTTTCAGTGGGAGCAGGAAGAGGGGGACAAATAAGGCGGGAGATGGGCGGGAAGGCTAGAGAGCGGCTGAGGAGACCCCTCCCCGAGCCCTGCACCCCCAGGGTCTGCAGCCCCAGCCTTGCCGGAGTGCCCCAGACCTCAGGATGGCTTCCCTGTGGAGCAGCCAGGCCGGCCTGGGCAGCGGCCCCTGGTCAACCAGATGGCCTCCAGAATCTATTGCTAATTCTTGTCTTCTACTAGTTAACAGAGTCTGAAGACAGGATTGAATAGCTGTCAAGGTCAGAGACAGTGCCGTGAATGTTTGTTTACGTGAAAAAAAGAAAGGAAAGTCTTCTGCTGGGGGCTCTCACTCTGCTCTGGGAAGCCCGAGCTGTCGCCGGTGCCTGGCCCAGGCCCTGCTGAGCGAACCTCTGCTCTAGCATCTCTCCAGAATGTAATTGTGGTTGAGTGCTCTAGGGCTCCTGGGGGGCAGGGTCCACACTCTGAGGGGTCTCCAGCCTTCCTGAAAGGTCTCATCCCACAACCCTGTGATTTCCTCCCTCCACATCTTAGGAAGGGAGGGGCATGCACATTTCTCACCCCAAAAAGCTGACATCCCTGGGAACCTTCCTTCTAAGAGCCTTCCGAGGGGGGTTGGGTCTCTCTCCTCACGAGAGCCCTGGGTGCTGGAGCTCAGCTTGGGCCCTCATGTTGCGTGCAGCCCACGGGCTGCTCCCAGAGCAGCGTCGCAGCGGCGGAGCTCCGAGTCCTGAGGCTGGGAGAGATGCGTGCCACCTCTGGGAGCAGGACACAGCCAGGCTCGCCCCCAGCACCATGGTTCTCAGACATGCATTTGGGGTGGGCTCAGTCCCTCAGGGTCCCCAGAAGTTGGCATGTCTTGTGTTATAAATAACCCGTAGCCACACGATGAACAGGGGACCAGTCCCATCTTCCGTGTGCCCCACAGTCTCCCCTTCACGGTCATCTCATGCTCCACTTGCTCTGTCCGGAGGCAGCACAGGGGGCTGACTGCACTTGTCACATCCAGTTTGGGGGTGGGGGGAGCAAGGGGTGTCTGCGACACCCCCTTCAAGGGCTGCTGAATAAAGTGTCCCTTTCTGTTAGTTTTATTTGATTAAAGCGCAGCATTTGACATAAAGCCCTTGTTCACAGATCTCCCAAACCAGAAACTATTCTAGTAAAATTGGAAACATGTATGAGTGGGGTGAGTTAACTCTGTTCAGCTGTTATTAAACTGTCATTTCTCCCGCTAAATGAAAACTGTGTTGTTATAAAGCTTAACGAAACCTGATCAATGGGTTTTGATGGTGTGTTGTGTGGGTCCCCTCCAACCCCAGCCTGTTCTCGGATTCCAGGAGCTTCCCTTCCTGGAATGGCCAGAAAGACCCAGATTAGACGATGTGCCAGGAGTTCCGTCTGCAGCGCCCGAGACCCCTTGAAATAAACAGAAGTGGCTCCCGTGTGGGTGGCCATTCCCCCGGTCTTAACGGGTCCTGGCAGGGAATGGACTGGTGTGCCCCACTCAGAGACAACCTTACAAATCATTGTTTTTCTAGATAACAAAGTGGTTATTGACCTGAAGGCAACATATTATACCTTTACTGCCAAAATGACTATCTAGAAATGCACACACACACACACACACACGCCTATTTCAAAAAGGAAAATGCATGAATGTGTGCTTATTCAAAGAGCGTCCGGTGGCCTGCTGATTCAGGCCTTGTTTTATCCAAGAGCAAGAAGTAAGTCTAGTTACACATCGGAGTCAGCTGTGGGGCTTTTTAAGCTACAGCTTCCTGAGCCCCATTTCAGACTTCTTATGGCCCCGGATGGTGTGGCTCAGTCAGTTGGAGCACTGTCCTGTACACTGAGGGTCTTGGGTTCGATTTCTGATCAGGGCATATACCTAGGTTGCAGGTTTGGTCCCCGGTAGAGATGCAACCAATTGATGATTCTCTCTCGCACCAATGTCCCTCTCTCTCTCTCTCTCTCTTTCTCTCTCTCTCTCTCTCTCCCCCCCTTTCTTTCCCTCCCTTCCTCTCTCTTTAAAAAAAAAAAATTGATAATTATGTTCTTAGGTAAGGATTAGAAATATGTATATTCTTATGGCAGCTGGGATTGAGAACAACAGGAGGAAAGTCTTAACATGCGTATGTCTCTGTCCCCCACTCTTCCTCCCGCCCTCCTGTGTGCTTTGGTGAGGGTCACTTCCGGGAGAAGTGGGCCCAGGGTGCTATGGATCCCTTGGGAGAACTTGGTCTCTTTGGGGCGGAGTCTAATGGGTAAGGCATGATTTTATGGCTAAGAAGGTCAAAGTAACATCTGGTGGTGTGAGCTTTATTGTGATTTCCTACCAGCTAAGAATGATCATTTCTCTAACCTCCTTGTCCCTTCTACCGAGTGGACACATGTTGACGCAGCCCCTCAGTCACGCCTGCTCCTCAATCATTCCTGTCTCCCGGGTCGTCTGCGCATCCCCCCGAACTAAGGACCTCAAGACCTTGTGTGCTGCTTAAGAAGGAACCTCGTCTGTATATGTCCTCACATACACAGCAAGCTAATTCATTTTTAATTCAGCTAACTCATGGTTAGAAGCCACTCTTGCCTGGGAAATAAAAGTGGGGAACCCCCTTTGGGCATGATACCCTCTTGCAAATAGTTGTAGGCTAAAATTCTCCGGAGAAACAGGGCAGAGGCCTAAGCCTCGCGGTCTTAAGGATTTTTGTTTCAAGGGTCTGTTTGTTGACATGGTTGAAAGCTCACGGCTCTGGGAAGAAATGCAGACTTGTCATGTTTCAGTTCTATTTCCTGCAGCGTCTCCTCCAGCTCATCCCCAGGACTCGGAGTGAGCCACTCAGCCACGTCCTGCTCAGCAGTGGGGAAACTTGACAAAGGAATTATTTCCTATCTGGAAAAGCTAAGTCAATCTGCTAAAATGGAGTCAGGTGAAATAAAACGTCCACCCTGTTTAAACATGAGCATTGCGACTCATGGGAGACTGAATTTTGTATTTGATTTCAATTAGCAAAGCATAAATTATATTTAATTTTCTGTTGCCGTCTCCGGAAAGCCTGCACGTGCGGTGCAGAGCCGAGGACAGGGGAGCCCGTCCTTCCGGGCACGGCCGCTCTGCGCCCTCCGGGCACAGAAGCCTGGGCCTTGCCGCGTGGACCTGCCGGCGCCACACACAGAATAACAGCGGCAGCACATGCCGCAGGCCCTTGTATTGTATTAAAATAATTTTTCTTTATTCATTTTCAGAGAGAGAGAGGAAGTGAGAAGGAGAGAGACAGAGACATGATGAGAGAGAACATTGATTGGCCACCTCCTGCACGCCCCCTACTGAGGATCAGGCCCAAGACCTGGGCATGTGCCCTGACCGGGAATCGAACCGGCGACCTCTTGGTGCACGGGTTGGCGCTCAACCACTGAGCCGCTTGGCCAGGCTGCAGCCCCTTCCCTTTCAACTTGAGAGCAGCAAAGGTGTGGCCCTTCTCAGGACCCCCTGCAACCTGTGGGCGCCTCTAGGACGGAGTTTTAAGTTGGGGCGCGAGTGACCTGCTCCATTCGTTGTACGAGGACTCCCAATCTGAACCTCACTTCTTTAGGGCCTCAACTCCTTGGTTCTTCCAGTTGCGTTTTTGCCCCTCCCATTTGCCCACCCTCTGCCTTATTCCCCAGAGAAGGGCCTGCCCCCCGCAGTCAGAAGACAGGGAGCTGGTTTGATCCTGGCCTCTGCCTATGTCTTGGATAAGCATCTGAACCTTAGTTTCCATTTCTAAAATTTAAATAAAATGCTCTTATTTAAAAATGTTTTCTTTATAGATTTTAGAGAGAGAGTAAGGGGAGGGAGAGAGAGATAGAAACATCAATAAGAGAGAACATCGATTGGCCGCCTCCTGCATGCCCCCCACTGGGGGTTTGGCCCACAACCTGGGCATGTGCCCTGACTGGGCATCGAACCAGCGACCTCTTGGTACATGGGTTGACGCTAAATCACTGAGCTACACTGGTTCGGCTAAATGGTCTTATTTATCAGAGTTTCTGTGATGACCAAAGTGATGGGAAAACATTTTTTAAAGTCAAGTGCTTCTTGGACACAGTGGAGAGTGATAATGACAATGGTCACAAGAAGATGGAGGAGGAAGAGGCGGAGAAGGGAGGGTCGTCCTGCCCCTTCCAGAACATGCCTCCGCAGTATTTCAAGGATGTGTCCTTACACAGACCACACAAATAGGAAAATGCCAAGAGAAGATGATTTCTCCCAAAGCTAAGGTCTGAACAGACCTTCTATAAATAGCAGGGCCCAGCTGGAATGCAGCTCGTGAGTAAGTTCACCTTCTCCCCGCCGGTCAGGACCCGCCCGCCCGCAGGCGCGTTCCCGCCTCTGGCCTTGCCCAGGCCCCACACTGAAGGTTCTTGCAGATACGAGGCACCACGGCCTCTTCACACAGGCCAAACAGATGCTCTGGAGACGGACACGGGTGATGTCTTCAAGCTTCGGAGCTGCGAGTTCTGTGCCGGAGCTCTGACTCCTAGGCGTTCACGTGGGCGACACGAGAGGGTGAGGACCAGGGCGGGCTTGGGGTCGGTCTCACACGTCTGCAGATAAAGTGGGGTGGGGTCTCCTCAGGTTCTTGAATGCACTGGGGCAGGGAGGGATGAGCTATATGATTTCTAGCTTCTCAAGGGGGTGAGGATATACCACTTTTAGGTATAAGAGGTGCATGAGATGAAGCCACTCTTTGAGATTGTGAAGTAGGTGACAAAGCGGTAGGAGTCCGTCATCTGTTGCTGAGGAAGCGCAGGCCCGGAACGTGCAGTGTGTCCACGCAGGCAGGCGGCACAGTCGCCTGTGCTCCTGGACGCAGCTCAAGGCCGCGCCCCGGGGTCGGCACGTTCCACTGAGGCTTTCATTCCGCAAGGGCGTGTCGCGTGACCGAGGGGCTTTGAAGGAGATGTGGGAGCAGGTGGAGCTGAGCGGCCCTGACGGGCTCCCAGCCGAGTGGGGGGGGGGGCTGTGCGGGACGCACG